TTGTCTCGAATTTTGTCTTCAGTAAGCGCCCGTTACGACGAAATAGCGGTCCACATGAAAAGAGCCCGCTCTAGAATTCTTCGCTGAGCTAAAAACCCGTGCTTCAACCGGCGTACTGTCTGGTCAAGCTTTGAATGGCCATTTGTTCCTAGTCTTAAATCATCGTCTTGGCTACAAAAATGTGATGACCAAATTGACTTCGAAGGCAGGACCGGACACTGCACGTGTATCTAAACTCGCGCCACCTTTATTCTTGAAGAAAAAGCACTGAGAAGATACCCGAGCGTCTGGGGGCAAGTGGTGGATATAGGTTGTGAACATAAATGAACAAGGTTTGCTAAACAAAATATTAAAAATCAAATCCAAAACGTGAAGGAGTGTTGCAGAATACTCTTTCTGGCCTGATATCACCGGCCCGCCTGTACCCGATCACGGTGAAAAGAGTGAACAAAACTGCTTGCAGTCCGTTGACAGTTATCACTTTTTCTGCACAAACTCTGTTCTTTGCTTGCAGGAGACCGTGTGTAACTCTGAAGCCACGTGCAACACCCAGCTACAAAATGTTTGAGCACGTTGCCGGTGGAAACGGTCACAGATTGGTGAAGGTCAGATGGAATTGCTTTTCCAGTTGAGCATAACCTTAGTGGCTTTACCTTGTACACAAAGCTATCAATGCCTTTCCGCCAATTACGTCTCCAAGTCTCTCAGTCAACGTGATTAGTGCCTTAACACGTTGACGACAGCCCCTTATGCGTGTACCTCGGCAACTTTTTGTTTATTTTTTTCACAATCGTCATAACTTCTTCAATAATTCCACTACTGGTAATTGACTCACAGTTTTTCGGATAAGATGACGCATGCACACAGTTTTGAAATATGAAAAAGGCCAAATAAACCATAAAAAACTAGCCAGAATCGGGTGAAATTCTGACGCGCATGCGCGTCATGCTGTCGTCAACGTGTTAAAGGCAAAGTCGGGCTCAATAAGGGGGTATTATGGCGATTGAAACTGAGTATAGAGATGCGAAGTGGAACGACAGTGGAGAAAAAACGAAAAAAACCGTCGACAAGGCCGAAAACAAAACCCTCTTTCCCACTAGCAGTGAAGGAGGCTGGCTTGGGAGAGAGGCACGTCCAAACGAGTTTTTCGGACATGCCGGCCATTGCTGGCTCTGTGCCGTCGGTTGATACGGCAATCAACCTAGCTGATTTCACACGTTGCCAGCCACGCACCACTTCCGGAGGTGGGCGGGCATAGCGCCTGCCAGGCGGCTATAGCGAACAATGCATCACCTGGGCTTTTGCCGCGCCGTTTGGGATTCTGAGCGTGGCAACGTCTTTAAGGGTGCGTAACCACGCACAGAGATGATGAAAGGGATTGGTTTGGTTGCCTAATCCTACCTTTGTCTTCGAAGGAGGATTCCTCGATAAAGTCCGAGGTCGAAGAAGGGAAAGGAAATGAAAAGGTAGGCGGGCCAGGGTCAACCGTCACGTTCCATAGGCCATACGCGTTTGGTCGAGGTTTTAAATTGTACGACACCGTTCGACTTAGATTAAGGCCAGTTCTTAATGGGTCGCATCACAGGGATTCGAAAAACTGATGGGTAGTGGCGGAGAAAATCCTTGAGCTGTCTATCGCTGCACACCGGCCCGCTAGGCATATATTCGGTGATGTAACCGGACCAGAGATTGCTGTGCCCACCCAAGCGGTTCTTACTCACGGGCTCCCTTTAACCTCTGGACGCGAGCAGTGCAGGAATATACATTACGGGGTGGGCCAAAAAATAGAAGACACGGGGTCTCTTCACATTTTATTCCAGTAATCAAATTTACCCAAAATCAGCATCGACTGCCCCAGACTTAGTATTAGAAGAACACTCCTTAAATCCTTTTACCCGCTACATGGCCGCCTTCTACACCAACGATTCAGAAGATTTCCCCACGGAAACGTGGGTTCGCGATACGAGCTCAACGGAGGTCGTCGAGGTACCATAGACCATTACGACGTCCCTGAACGCTGGTCAAAAGCGGTTTTGCATAGTCACAGCTAATGTCTCTGGGAAGCTATTCAACAGTTAATCCATTGAAGAAATTATGAAGCAGCTTCAGGCCGGAGCGATTACGGTAAGCCTCGTTGAGCTCGACGGTGGCGGCAGATGACGTCATATTCTGAAGACGGCGGGGCAGTGAAGGAGGGCCTGCTTCTGTTTACGGGGGAACACCTAAGGAATATTCCGCCGTAAAACTTTCATTAACATCGGCACCCTGTGCGACGAAAAGTTCGATGATGTGCCATGGGCAAAGTGGGGCAAAGGATTGTCTCTCTTTTTTTATTGGCCAACCCTGTATGTGTCGCCACTTTTGCACCTCAATGGACATTGCGGCGAGTATGTATGCCATTACATTTATTTTTTGCGCACATGCCTGATTTCTCCCCAAGTTTTTTTTTGTGTTCATTCTATAGGCCATACATCAGCATAACCGAAAACCCCAGGGCTTACAAAATGGCCAGATATTCTTTAGTCTGGCAGAGGTTTTCCAGATCTTGCGAAAATGTCTGTTCAATTCATTCCTCGTTTTCTTTTCGCTAACGTAGGAGACAGGTAAATATAAAACGAGTAGTGGAAGGGAAAGCTGACCTATTCGCATGGCAAGATACCTACACTGCGACGCATAATTATAGTTCCACCTACAAATTTCCCAAAAACTTGAATCTGGGGATGTTTTTGGAAAAGGCTCTACAGATAAATTGTGACACATATAAACGCGAATCTGAATATTAACACGGAAATCCAGTTTGAGAAAGCAACAATTTTTATCCTTATTTTTTCGAAAATATCCGCTTTAGCTTCTCCGCTGCATTTTGCTTTTACCCAATCAAAATTTGGAATTATTATCCATTCAAGTTCCTTAGCTTATAGCAAAGGCAAAACCGCTGTCACACTTCCGTAAAAGGGAAATCCTAGCAAAAGAGACGCAGGAATTGTCAAAGTGTCAGCTCCGCTGGAATTTGTCGGGGTGACTTCATAACGAACAAATTTCTCAAGGATGCTACAGGATATGACTGGGAGGAACCCTGATTACTATCCGACTGAGATAAGCGCCGTATCGTGAGAAAATGATATCCAGCCGTACTGAAATTGTAGGTGGAACAATAATTATCGCATGCATGTTATAGTATTTATGAACTGAAAAACCGCGGTCCAAAGTTAAGATTTCGCAAACCATTTAGCGAAGCGATTAGTAAAATTTGCCGTTTCATGCCCATAACACATCATTCTGGTGGACTCTGGTTAGATACATCGAACATTGTTGAAAACACTTTGTTACATTTCGCATTTAAAGCTCAAAATCCGCGGATTTTATGTGATGCAGCGGCGCTCGCAGAATTCGCCGCGTCCCAACGCGCGGTCACCTTGTGAAACGTGCGATGGTCGCGTCGACGTTTATATACCCGGGAAAAATTATACGATTTCAGGTTGAACGGACGGTGCTGGTTAGCCACGAGACTTACATCCTTACCCAATTAATGGAGCATGGTCCTTACGTCTATGACTGGAGGCCTTTTGAACTTGTCACACTTCTTTCGCAAGCTGCTGTATGTCATTCTGGCAAGAACTTTTATTTGGGAGTTGAGGTCACTGCTTTTTCCTTACATCGTACAAAGTTTTCAAGGACATTTTCGAAGGAGAAGCTACGATGCTCACGCTGAGGACTCCCATAGCGATTATTGGAGATATTAGAGGGCAGTGAGTTGCACTGAGTTACCATTGAATTGACACAATTTCCAGTTGGGATTGAAAGCATCCGAAGGAAAATTCTCGAACCTGACTTGAAAATGAATCAATTTTATTGACGGATGATACCATGGCGGGGTGTTTTAGGTACCAAGATTTGCATCGATGGCTTTATATAACTGGTTTTCCGCCTCGACAAAAAATATTGTTTCTTGGAGGTGTGATCGATTCCGAAGACCCAGGATCGCTTGACTGTCTTGCGTTCATTGCTGCTATGAAGGTAGGCTTTTTCGACTCAGAAGCTTTCATTGCAACTGGATTGGTATTTGACTTAAATCAGCATTTCGATCGAGTTCAAAGTCTAGGTCCGATTTCCACACGATGTATTTTACATCAGAGGAATGGGTGAGATGCTACCAATTCAATTTCAACCTCGTTTTCGTAGACGTAATGACTCAGCTGTTCAGTCGTAAGTATTTGTTCTTCGTCAATATCACCTTATCCTTTCTTTATGTTGTCTTGTTATGGTGGAAGTGAGCCTTAAATTTGTTCTTAGTCAATAACTTGGAAAAAATTTCAGCGCAGCTACTCGGCTCTGTAACAACCTTCCCTTGATGGCACGAATTTCAAATCAGATTCTCGCCGTCTACAGTGGCCTTTCACATGAGGTATAATGAATGCTATATTCTTATAACATAAACCGAAGAATGAGTGCATAAAGGCAGCTGTTACAATCATTTTGTGACTATGAAATATGAAAGTAAAACTTCCACTCGTTTCTGGAGCGGACGAGTTAATATTACAGCTAATAAGGTAGTCGTTTAGGAAAACTAACTTGTAAGCTTGAAAAGGCGGCAAGTCTAAAAAGAACCCTCACCTTGTCTGCAGTGGTAAACAGGCTTGAGAAATGACGTCTTCACCTCATGAAAATTAAGCGGGTGCCTTGAAGGCGAAAGTCGGGCTCAATATGTGGTACCAGGTTTGCTCCGCCCGCTATCGCGCGCATCACATTGTAGGGAAACCACGGAATAGCAGCATGACGTAATCCATTGACCACCACCTCACCATTGAACCGTGTTATACCCCTTCTATCCCTTCTCTCCGGCGCATGACTTCCCTCCCTTTCTCCTCTCCCCTC